CAACTATCAGCTATATAGGTTTATTTCTCATCTTATCCCGACTGACACTCTATTACTTGTTCACATATTTAGTTTTCGTTAAAAAAATTACCTCTTCATTTCTTTATCTAGCTGAGGCCCTGAAAAAATATTCTTTAAAAAAATCCACGCCTTGTGGAGACCCTGAAAAAATATTCATTAAAAAATCCACGCATTGTTGATACCCTGAAAAAATATTCTTTGAAAAATCCACGCCTTGTGGAGACCCTGAAAAAATATTCTTTGAAAAATCCACGCCTTGTGGAGACCCTGAAAAAATATTCTTTGAAAAATCCACGCCTTGTGGAGACCCTGAAAAAATATTCTTTGAAAAATCCACGCCTTGTGGAGACCCTGAAAAAATATTCATTAAAAAATCCACGCATTGTTGAGACCATGAAAAAAAAAAATCTTTAAAAAATCCACGCGTTGTGGAGACCCTGAAAAAATATTCTTTGAAAAATCCACGCCTTGTGGAGACCCTGAAAAAATATTCTTTGAAAAATCCACGCCTTGTGGAGACCCTGAAAAAATATTCATTAAAAAATCCACGCATTGTTGAGACCATGAAAAAAAATCTTTAAAAAATCTACGCGTTGTGGAGACCCTGAAAAAATATTCTTTGAAAAATCCACGCCTTGTGGAGACCCTGAAAAAATATTCTTTGAAAAATCCACGCATTGTTGAGAAAAAAATTGAAAAAATGTTCTTTAAAAAATCCACACCCCATATTGTTATTGAAAAAATATTCTTTAAAAAAATAATCGACGTCTTGTTGAAAAATATTCTTTAAAAAAAATATATTCTTTACTTTACCATGAGCTGAACATTTAAACTACCTAAAAATTATATGTGGTTTATTTTAAAAAATGGATCCATTATTATCCGCTAGGAAAACGAAAACCCGCATTGCGCACAGGAAACTGGGACATTCAACTTACATATATACCAAAAATGTGCGAGGCCATTATGTCCTATGTGAAAACACGGACTTATAAGGAAAATATTATGTGAACCTACTAAGAACACAGAATGCCAAATTACAGTCTCTTCGGTTCGAACTATCCTAAGACTATCAAAATACTTGAAATAAGGGCGGAATCTTTCTATGGAGGTCAATGAAAACATGGACCAATTGAACATTTCCTGCACAGACGTCTTTTACGGTTGTTGCACAGACATCATTCGGTTGGAATATTAGCTAATTACCACAATATTATCTATAATGAGGGCTATACATAAATATGGACCTGTATGTATCGGAGTATTATTACTTAAAGTGGCCCCAAAGAGTATATAACACTGCAAATTTTTGTTCCTGGATTGTTCCGATAATGACTTGTTGAGTTGATCTAGACATGTGTTTCCGTCCGTCTGTAGAGACCAAGATTATGACCCGAACATCACGGAATGGGGTATGTTATTTCGCAACAGAATAAACATGATTTTTCTTTTGAAGAAAATGGGCCAGTATTTTGCAGGTCACGTGGACCAAAACTTTTGTGTGAAAAGTGACAAAATTTGCGCATGAGGTTAGGATGAATAGAGAAGTGCTTTACACCACCACACATATCCCACCACATAGGACATACATTTAACCCAGTGAAAAGGCCTCGTGTGCGCTCTAGAAAGGCAAGGAAGTTAGATGGACACATTTTCGGATTTTGCCTCTCTAAGCTTTTGCGATTTATGTGTTGTTAGTGCAGCCCTTCAGTCTTTACCGTGCACAATTCCTTTGGGTCGGGTATTTCTTGAATTGTATAATTTCCAAAGAATTGGGTTCGAAGGTAGTTGTATAGGAAATGTTCTAACGTATCGTTGTCTCCACCACACGATCCACACATGCAGCTTTTCCATGCACTCAATCTTGTGTAAATGTGCCTGCAGGCTGAGAATACCTGTCCGGTAATACACTCTGTTAAATATTGAATCTCCTCCTTGTTTCTTAAAAAAAATTAGACCCAATTTTTATTTGGACCAAATCCTTTTCAGGCAATTTGGAGTCGATTTACAAATGTCCGTCTGCCTGCCTGTCTGGCGGCTAGAGCGAACGATAACAACATTAAATCCGAAATCACTTTGTAAAAACAATAATGAAACCTGTGTGTAATTCCGAAGATTTCCGCAAACCACAGACTGAGAGAATTAATCTGTCGGCCACAACGACTGAAACTATTTCAATTGTTGTGTTTTTATTTATCACTTAGGTTATTTGGAGAGCCTAAAATATGGTCAATCATTTTATTGTTACAGCGGAATTTAGAAACATTACCCGCGGTTGTATCTGGCGAACATGGAGGTTGAAACCAATTCATGTAATTTTACTATTGAGTCTGTTGGCTTTATGGTTTCCTTTTATGAGGTGCCCCTTATTGTTTTCAAAATTAAAAAAATGGAACTCTGACCTTAAGTTGGGCGCCACTGACAAAAAATAAACTATTTCTGCCGGATGGTATTTTTATACCCTACACAACTAGCTTTGTGCAGCCCCAAGCGTTTGTAACGCCGCGAAATATTGGTTCTAGACCCAACTTTAAGTATGCCGATTGTCATATCTCGACTAGCTGAGTCGATCTAAACATGTGTGTCCGTCCGTCTTCCCATTATAATTTTTAAACACGATACAGGCCACAGTTATGGATCAATCTTCACGAAATTTTGCATGTAGAATGGGTTCTGGCCAATGGCCAATGATCGGTTAATATTTAGGCGATGAAATGGACCACATGCTTAATTTTTATTTTAGTCGCTCAAGAGGCCGCAATTATGGCTCGAACATCGCGAAATTTTTTTAATAGCTTGTACATTTTAAAGAAATATTTTTTTGTCCATGTTGGGCGCCATTTTCATTAGTTTGCACATAACTTCTTTACAACGAGCTTAATAAATATGACACTATGGCTCTAGTTGGGCGCTACTTCAAAAAGGAAAAAACGAAACCATGAAATTATTGCGATTATTGATTCAAACACAGGTTTCATTTAAAATAGTCAAAAATTTTAAGCATAATATTTTATTGCATTATATGGAGCACCATATTGGGCGCCATTTTCATTAAATTGCTCATAACTTCTCCAAAACGAGCTCAATAGATATGAAAATTTGCATATGGTTTCCCTTTATGAGGTGCCCTTCATTCTTTTCTAAATAAAAAAAAATAGATTCTCTTTCCGCAAGTTGGGCGGCACTTGAAGAAAAAAAATTAAATAAATAAATAAATATTGCAAATTGAACAAAAAAAACTATGCCTCTAAAAATTTTACTATAATATTCACTTCGAGGCAAATAAGATGCATATTTTATACGAATTTCCCCGTTGGGCGCCATTTCTGTCGAGCGTTGTTTTTAGAATATAATTATAACTTACATGTTAAAAATTGATGCAAACACATGATTTATTAAAACTATTTTATATTTTATTTAAAATAACCAATATGTTTTTAAAATGTTGGGCGCCATTTTCATTAATTTGCACATAACTTCTTCAAAACAAGCTCTATGAATCTAAAAATTAGAATATGATTTTCCTTTATGAGGCGCCGTTCATTCTTTCCAATATACGAAACTGATAATCGGTCCCCTGGTTGGGCGCCACTTCCAAAGAAAAAAGAATCCATTAAAATATTGCAAATTAAACAAAAAAACTATGCTTCGAAAAATGTTACTATTGCATTCACTTCGGGGGAAATAAGATAGATATTTTATATGAATTTCCCCGTTGGGCGCCATTTCCGCTGAGAACTTTCCCATTGGTTTGTTTTGTGTAAAATTTGCATATTTAACGAAATTTGCATCTTTGTTGTAGCAATGACATTAAATCGGATAATATTATATATGGGACCTATAGGTATTAAAATTTAATTGATTTTTACGAAATTCAATAGGGCTCGTCTCGTAGCCAGAAGAGTGCCAAATTTTATCGTCATTATAAAATAAATGGACATATGGACATTATCTGGAGAAATTTTTGTGAGTACCTGCCATTTGGCCCACCTCACAGTGGCTGAGCCACAGGCGGAAATACGCCTAACGGCGCACGGCATCGAAGTTCTGTACCATATGGACAGACGGATTGAAATATATACGTTAATATATCCAGCAATGATTCCCAACATATCTTGAAAATTAACTATGGACCCAATTATAATTTCATTTTCGACATAAAAATATTATTTGTCATCACCTCCTGCAGAATATTCTAATAAAAGAATACAAATATCTCCCTCTACATTTCCCAAATGCATTGCGGGTGTTGCTTTCCAAGAAAACCGGAAGGTGTTGCTCCATCCTTCGAAGATTCAAACTGTCATCACTACTCATTTTCCTAATGTTTCCAAAAACAGAAACCCAAAAAATGACACAATGACGAATGACAAAAATATCCACGACCTTTCCCACCATACACCACCCCAAAAATTACCCAACTGTGTATACTACCCTCCTCCTTACTCACTAGTCTAACAAATTTTATTATCTTGTTAACAATGCTAAAATTTAATTAAATACAAAGGTCCCGATACACACACACTCCCTCACATTCTAACATACACACACACAAGGTTCAGGAGGTAATAATGTAAATAACAGAAATTACAACAACAACAACATGAGAAGACAATAGTGTCCTCAAAGGACTTTCTAGTTGTTTTTTATTTTTGTTTTTTTTTTCATTTTTCATCGTCTTGTTGTTGTTGTTGCCGAATGACATCAATGAAAAACAAGTGCAACAACAACAAAGTATAGCAACAAGAGGTACATTATTATCTCCCGCCGGGGTTAATGCAAAGAGGCTTGTGATGTGACAACGCATCACACCTCCCTTGAGGGGTATATGGGGATACACATGGAGTATTATCATGGTGTGTGTGTCTGTTCGGCGGTTATCATGACCCAAAACACTAGGTGTTGTTGTTTTTGTTTTCTGTCTTCTTCTTCAAGAGCATTGTTGTGTTGTATTGCGAATGACATTGAGTTCAACTTACGCTTCATCCTCGGCCGAGGCTTCCACTTGATTGAGATGGGGTGGCAGGCAGATGAAATAAAACAGCAGGAATGCGGTCAAAACAAGTGAAATATGTGTCATCAACTTATCACACGAACAATACATTTTTCTAGCATTTTCTGCTTTTTCTTGCTATTTTCTCTTTTATTTCACTTTTCACAAAATTTTTTTCTTTTCGAAAATTTATTTTATTTTTCTTTCGAAAATTTTAATTTAAAAAATTTAAAATTAAATTAATTTTTTGTATATTTTTCTTTTTCAAACGATCAGCAATCTGGGCACGTTTTGAAAAAAATAAAATCACCGAAAAAATGTGCTCCACTTTTCTTTGTTTTTTTTTTTCACTTTCACATGGGTGTTGGTGGTTCCTGATCTTTTAACCGAATTTCGTTGGGAGATAAATTTTTGATTTTCACAGGTAAATTTTTTGGCACTTTTTTCCAATGCGGAGAATTATTAAAAAATTATTATTTTTATAAAATTAAATATTTTCTTTAATTAAAATTTTTTTTTCTAAAAAAATTTTCTTTCGATTTTTCTTAAATTTTCACTAAAAACCATAAAAAAGATGTTCAGCTGTGCGTTAATTTTCTATATATAAACCACGTTCAACCTCTATGATTTGTTACACATCACAGCTACACACACACACACACTCTTAGATATTGGCACGCATATACACACACTCGCGCATTGTCGTAGGTGCTTTTGTTGTTTTTCTCAATGGCTGGCTGGCTGGTTGGTCGGAACTTTGGGGCTGGCTGGCTGCTTGGTTAACTGAATGGCTAACCAAATACACAGAAATATTTATGTGTGTGCATGTATGTGTAAACGAAAATATATTTATATTATGCTGTTGCCCGTTTTTCCCGTGTAGACGTGTCGTATGGCGGCGGCGTTCCGTTTTCTAATTTTTCTTCTTAGCCACTTTGGTCCACCCGTTGCCGTTGAAAAGCTGCGAAAAACTAAAACGGAATGTGGAAAAATTCGTTGTTTGACTTATGCCGAGATGACCGAAACGACGAACACAGCCGACCACGCAGAGAAGAAAACCTAAAGAGAGAGGGAGAGCTTGTTGGGCTATTTTTAGCAGGACTCCTTTGTAATGAATTGTCAAATAATCAGCTGTTTGTTTATATCGTCATATTTATTGCTGTGTTTCTTTTATGGCCACATTTCTTGATCGGCCTGTGTTTTTATCCCCATATTCTGTTTACATTAACTAATCGTTTTCTTCTTCTTCCTCTTGAAAATATTGATTTTTCCGGGGCAAGCTTTTGTTCGGTCTTTTTTAGTAATACGTTCGACGAGAGCTACAGGCGGCATATTCAACTTTACACAAATAAATATATTTTTTTTACAAAAAATTGTAGGTCCTCAAAAAATAATGTTCAAAAAAATCCACGCCGTTTTTAGATCTTCAAAAAATAATTTTTAAAAAATCCGCGCCTATTGATAACTTACTTAGCTGGCTTGTTACAGAACTGTTGTTTCATAAGCCGATTTCCAAGCGCGTAGGTCTTGTGCACATCTCCTTCAATTTGAAATACCATCTAATTCGTGGCCTTCCCCTTCAACGGGAACCATCAGTACCATCATTCGCACAACATGGCCTAGCCATCGTAGTCGTTGCAGCTCAATACGACTGACTATGTCGATTTCCGAGTATAAATTGTAAAACTCGTGGTTCATTCGACGCCGATATTCACCGTCGACGCAGATCGGCTCGTAGCTCTTTCGGAGAATTTTTCTTTCAAATATCCCAAGTAGTGTTTTTCATGGGTTTTTTCCAGGATTTGGCGCAGAGTGAAAATCTGGTCAGTGGTGGTTTTGCCAGGTCTGAAGACGCATTGGTATGGTCCAATAATGTCATTGACCATTGGCTTCAGTACGCTGAATAGCACTTTATATGCGATGGGAAGAAGCCTAATTCTTTTATAGTTGGCACATATCGTCTTGTCTCCTTTTTTGTGCACGGGACACAGGATGCTGAGGTTCCAATCATTGGGCATGCATTCTTCTAGCCAAATTGTACTAATCAGCTGGTGCATGCTCCTTACCAGCATCTGGCCACCAGTCTTGAATAGTTCGGCTTGTAACCCATCGGCACCTGCTGCAATCAGCCGATTGATTGCTATTCTGACTTCATCTTGGCTAGGTGGTATACACTCTATACCGTCATCTCTTATTGGTTCTGGGGTATCTACTTCACCGCCACTATTTGATACCAGAAGCTTTTCAAAATGCTCCTTCCAGATCCTCAACACGCTGTCTGTATCTGTCACCAGGTTTCCTTCTTTATGTCCACAGGAGGATGTGCCTGCACCAAAACCTTCGGTTTGGTGTTTTATTCGTTGGTAAAATTTCCGGACTTCATTCTGACTCCTCTACATCTCGATTTGCTCACGCTCACGTTTTTCTTGTTCTTTCTTCATTTTTCTGAAAATACGTTTTTCTTCTCTCCTTTTCTCCCGATAGTTCTCCATCGCATTACATGTTGCTACTGACCGCAGGGTTGCCCTCTAGCATTACGACATTCCTGATCGTACCATCGGTTTCTTGTAAGTGGTTTTTGGTACCCAAGTGTTGCTTTTGCTGCAGTTTGTAGGGAGTGGGAAATTCCTTGCCATTGTGCTTCTATACTATTATCGGGACAAGGAGTGCTTTCGTCAAGCAGCTGGGTAAGTTGAGTGGAGTAGGCCTCGGCTACCTGTTGCTTTTGCAGCTTTTCGACGTCGAGTTTCCGTGTTACAGTAGATCGCATCTTTGCTGCAACATTAAAACGAGAGCGTACCTTGACTGCCACAAGGTAATTGTCCGAATCGATATTCGATCGATCGAACGTCTAAAACACTGGACGAATACCTTCCGTCTATCACAACATGATCAATTTGGCTTCTCGTTGCTTGATGAGGAGAAATGCAGGTGGCTTTGTGAATATCGAGATGCTTTAATCTGGTGCTGCTAACTGCCATGTTTTTGGCTGACGCGAAGTCAATCAACCTAAAGTCGTTGTCGAATGTTTCTTCATGGAGGCTGAATTTTCCGACGGTGGGGCCAAAGATATTTTCCCTGCCGATCTTTGCATTAAAATCTCCTAGCAGAATTTTAATGTCATTGCCAGGGCAGCGATCATATGCTGTTTCTAGGCGGTCGTAAAATATATCTTTAATCATCTTTGTCTTCGATGGGAGCATGGGAGCAAATAAGACTGATGTAGAATAACATCGGTGTTATGCGGGTTATAGCAATTCGCTCATATATTGGAGTGTATCTGGCGACAAGGTAATATTAACCATAAATCCGCACCCAAATTCATGTCTCGTTTCATGGCAGCTATAATACAGTACGTTATCTTCTGATTTACTTACGCTTGTCCCTTTCCATCGCATTTCCTGTAAGGCAATAATATCGGCTTTGTACTTCTTGAGTACATCCGCCGAGAACTGCGCCTGTTCTGTACAACGTGCGCACATTCCAACTGAAGATTCGCAGATCGTGGTCCTTTATACGTTTGCGGGGGTCGTCAACATTAGGGGGTTTTGGTTTTCTTTTTCTTAGCTTTTTCATAGTAGGAGCGGTTTTCTGAGTATGGGCAACTAACCCGACGCCTCAACCCATTTTTTTATAGTTCTTATGGGTGAACTCGCGGCACATATTAGCTCACTATTTCATCGGGTGATGAAAATTGATACCCCAGGTGACACCGCGGGGAGGTCAGTGTCCACAATTGAGATGAAAAAGGGACCAAGATAAGCCAGGATTTCGCCATGTTAAAGTCAATTAGAGCCGTTGCTTGGTATCTATTATCCCCTACGCCACGTCAGAAAATGTTTACCACTGTTAATGTTTTAACTACGTGAAATGCACCTTGGCGTATACGTTTTGTCAGTACTTATTCGACCCCTCTCAAATTTCCATTACCTTTAAAGTCACCCACTACCAATTTAATTCTATTAAAAGCTTTATTTTCTATATCATTTTAATTAGGTTAATACCCTTTCAGGCAATATTTAAACTATCAAAATTCAAATATGAGTGGTCAAATGACAAAAAAACTTTCTCTCTCTAGATTCCATTACCAATATTGGAATGTATTCTGTCCCACATTGTGAATGGCTTTAATTGGTAGAAAATAATTAATAGCATTGCTTCTAGCATCCGCATAAAGCTTACATTCGAAATTCTGTAACTCAGAATGTGTGCCGACGAGAGTGTGTGTGTGTCTGTATGCAAAATGTTGTAAATTGTCCAACATGTGTCCACAATGTTTTGGTTACAATGAGAAGAAAATAAATTTATCAAGAGTTGAGGGTGGTATGATAAGTTTCGGAATTTTTACTTTTTAAAAAATTAAATTTAAATCGAAGAAATGAAAGAAAAATCGTTTTTTCCCATGGGGGCGTATAACTGTTGTCAGTACTCATACGCCACCATATACGACAACTTAATTGCTTGATAATAATTAGTTTTTCTCACCATATTGCCCATTGGCTCTGGTTTTATCACCAAGAATTGTTTAATTTTCCAATTTGAGATCCTTCTCTTCCCTCAACCTTTTTTGAGACCAGCACCCAACCTCAAAATTGAATGCATAAGTGCCGGTGGTGACATGTTTTTCAAATGAGAGTGAAGACAAGAATCTATTAACCTAGTCAGGCAAGGTAGGGAAGGACAGCACACTCTTTAAATTGTCCTACAGAAGATAATCGATGATGGTGAACAACAAACGTTTTTTATATGACCATTGCATAAACCTGTAGCTTTGGACCTGCTTCTCCCAGCATCCTCATCAGTACATTTAAGTCAAAAGAAACAACAATGATCTTTACTAGAAAATGAAAAACAAGAGTAAAAAAAGAATTATAGTTTAAAATGTGGTTTTATTAAAGTGTCGATTTCCTTCCACCTTCCTCTTCTCCTTTTAAACCTATTTCCCCAGACAAGAGTCCATTTCGTGTGGATAACTGGGGAACCCTTTTCCATCCTCTGAACCAAACATATTTATGTTCATTTTTTTTTTTGCTGGTCATTTATTTGCTTGTCTTTATGTGCGGTCACCAGTATACCAGTGTATGCCTCCATGTGTCTGCTTGGTAGTGGTTGGTATGTGTG